GCTACTCAAGAGTCAGGACTCTTTTTTAATATTTTAACTAGTGCTTTACTTGTAAGCTGCACAGGTTAAAACATATTTTTATATAATTAATTATATAAATTTAACCGTGACAGATACAGACATTTATATAACAAAAAAAAAAGTATTGTATATTTATAATTTTGATGCTAATATATTTTACATAAAATTTGTCTTATATAAGTAAATACTTATTCATATAATTTAAATGTTAATTGTAGTAATGTAATTTTTTTTCTTAATAAATATTTATTTACGTGATTTATATATTAACCTTTTCATCCAAAAATTTGCTTCTCTAGTTATACGAATATTTATTATATGATTGTGTAGTAATATAATTTTTATGTGAGATTTTTATTTTATTTTCTATAACTTACATATTATTAATTCTTCAAACAAATTTTTTAATCATATAATAATTATTTATGTGTATTCTATAATATAGAAAAGTGACTCATTTTAAGATAAAATTTTTATCGAAATATATATATATATATATAATCAAATTATATTATATATATATATATATAATAAATTCTAATAGTGGATATTTAGAGTTAAATTCACGTGGTGAGATAAAGTCTTTTGTCTAATTTTTAATAAAATATTTTTTAAAGTAAAAAACTATACAAACTAAAAATATTTTTATAAACTGAAAATGATTTTATTGTTTTTTTTATTTATTTAAAATCAACATAAATAGTTATCAAATTCATAAAAAAAAATAAAAAGGGAGAGGACCAAAATTGTAACATCCTGCACTTTGATTTAAATAAAATGAAATTTATTAAAGTATAATTGGAATAAATTTGAATGGAATTTCTATTTTAAAAAAATTAATTTTTTTTATAAAAAATGATGACGTCATCAGTGATGTCATGCTGACCTCATATACACGTACAGTCAGTATACAGTACACGTGCATAGTATTTTTGGCATGAATAGTGACCACGAACAATGTTTCCGGCGGTGAACAGTAATTCTGATAGTGAATAGTAAATTTCAAAAATTTTCTATAAAAAGGGGGGTTTCATTCAAAATTTTCATTTCTTCACTCTTATCCATGATTCTCAAAGATTCTAAGGTTATATCTTATCATTTTCTCTCATACTAAACCCTCTTAAACTTATATTTCTCTTTAGATTTGTGATTCTACGTCCGTTCTAAAGGATTTCAAGTAAGTTTTTCTAACTTTAAAGTTAGAGTTTCTCCTTTTCTTCTTTTTCTTATACATGTTCATAATATTCTTAAGAGAAAACTTTGTTCTAGAGTTAAATCTTCAGTTAAATATTTGTATAAGCTTTGTTTTGAGGTAATGAGGCTCTACTTTATCATTTTGTTATGTTTATTACTTGTATTCTCAAAGATCTTATCATAAATATGATTATATGTGAAATAATCCTTGTTTTATGAAAAATAATCGATGAAAAGCGAGAATAATTGGTTGTTTATGTGATTTTATGATAAATACATGGTGAAAGTATGTTATTATGTTCAAATAGTGCATGATAAAGTATATTGAGGATGGTTGATATCATTTTATGATTTTGTGATATGAAATATACAAAGAGATGCATGCTTCATGTTTGAATATATTGTGGTTCATGTAAAAATGATGTATATTGTGAATATATCATGGTTTAATGTATATGATGAAAAGTATGTAGAAATATAATGAAAAATATGTGTGAACATGAGAAATGGCATATGTGAACATATGAATATACTCGAAAGAGTATGAAATGAAAAATGATATAATGTAATAGTTACACAGATATACTGAGATAGTGGAAGATGGAGAAGATATGGGATATCTTGGAAAAATGCAGGGTGGTGAGTGGCATTCGGGGTTGTGCATAGAATATTGTATACGAATGCACCACATGGCTGCACACTCATTTTCTGACTTGACTCCTGACCATTATCTTTGCTAAAAGGCTGTCTATTGCATGCGTTGTATTAGTGTTGCATTGTATCATCCGGCGACTATTTACATGGATGTGTAAGACCTCGAGATAGAGGCATCGAATAACTCTGGCCACAGGGCGCGGTAAGCGCGGGTAAAAGAAAAAGAAATTGTGAATCTGTGGAATATAATATATGCTTATGTGTTAAAATGAGAACTTACTTTATATGATACTGTGATATGTAATACTATGATATTTTCTTTAATCATGATAAGATGTGTTTTATGATGAATATGTGTTATGTACAAGTGGTAGGGTAGAGACTCACCATTACACAACATTTTCAGGAAATTAGGACAGGTAATACTAGGCTCACAGTGTATGGATGGATGAGAACTGCTATAGGACTTAATTATTTTGAGTTATGTAACGGATATTTTCAGTTATATAGCATTCTTTTATAACAGTTGTAAAACTATTATTTTTTTTGTTGCAGATGAAAATTTTAGAATCTTTGTTTTTCTAAAGTACTTATGAATTAATGAAATTTTATTCTATGAACCTTATATCATTTCATTATTCTTTCTCATTAGAGAGTTTTTTGAAAAAAATTTACTTTACCATTTAAATTTTTATGAATATATATATATATATAGAGAGAGAGAGAGAGAAAAGAAATATAAGGCGTTACAACTTTGGTATCAGAGCAGCTCATTCAGACCAGATTGGGGTATGGGACTAAAATGTCTATGTTGTGTAATAGATATACTGGAATATGAAATAATTATTTGCTAATATGACTTGTTAGATGTGAATTACTTGATCTAGATATATCTATGTGTATGTGAATGATAGATTAATAAGTGATTTGAGTTTATTGTAAGATTAGAGCTATGACTGGTAGAGGTAGACATGCTGGTGCTACAAATGAACTCTTGGAGCGCATAACCCAAGTCTTAGAGACTTTGGCACATAACCAGGAGGCTGAACTAGCCAAGTATAGAGGACTTTCTTCTTTTACTAGGCATAACCCTCCAAAATTTGAGGGAAAGTTTGATCCTGAGAGAGCTCAAAGGTGAATAGCAGATGTGGAGAAGATTTTCCATGCCATGGAATGTACAGAGGAGCATAAGGTAACTTATGCTACTTATATGCAAAATGGAGAAGCTGAGGACATGTGGAGATTTGTTAGTCAAACTCTACTGCAAAGAGAAAGTTTTGATTTTTAGCACTAAAGTATCAGAACGTGCTAGACTCTTAAGTCCAGATTCGTTGGGAAATGTAATGAGTGCTAAGGCTTTCATGGTTCTATTTTTAATTGAGACTAAAAAGGAAATGAAGCCTGAGTATATCCCAGTAGTGAGAGATTTTTTGGAAGTTTTCCCTGATGATGGTACTGAATTACTATCGAAAAGGGAGATTAAGTTTACTATTGATCTCATTCTAGGAGCAAATCTTATTTCTGTTGCACCATATAGGATGTCACGATAGAGTTGGCTGAGGTAAAGAAGAAGGTACAAGAATTATTGCAGAAAAGATTTGTAAGGCCAAGTGTGTCACCTTGGGGAGCACATGTTCTTTTGGTGAAAAAGAAAGATTGGAGCATGAGGATGTGTATCGATTATAGGCAGTTGAATAAGGTAACAATAAAGAACAAGTATCCTATTCCTTGAATTGATGACTTAATGGATCAGTTACGAGGAGCTTCCGTATTTTTTAAGAGTGATTTACGATCTGGTGATCATCATATCAGAATTAAGAATGAGGATATCCCTAAGACAGCGTTTAGAACCCGCTATGGCCACTATAAGTATCTAGTTATGCCATTTGGTGTGACTAATGCTCCTGCAATATTCATGGACTACATGAATAGAATTTTTCATGAGTTTTTGGATAAATTTGTTGTAGTATTTATAAATGATATTCTGATTTATTCCAAGACTCATGAAAAATATGCAGAACACTTGAGAATTATTTTTGCAGATATTAAGAGAAAGACAGTTAAATACAAAATTCTCTAAGTGTGAATTTTGGCTACCATAAATTCAATTTTTGGGACATGTGGTATCAAAAGATGGCATTATGGTGGATCCAGTAAAGGTGATGCAGTGGCTTAATAGTCAAGACCTACTAATCCAATAGAAATTCACAGTTTTTTGGGACTAGTTGGCTATTATAGGAAATTCATTAAAGGATTTTTTAAAATAGATTTTCCTTTGACGAAGTTAACAAGAAAAAGAAAGGAGTTTGTTTGGAGTGAGGAGTGTGAAGCTAGTTTCCAAAAGCTGAAAGAAAAGTTAACATCTGCCCTTTTCTTAGTTTTGCGTAATCCAGAACAGAAGTTTGATGTGTATTGTGATGTGTCTGGGCAAGGGCTTGGTTGTGTCTTGATGCAGGATGGAAGGGTAGTTGCTTATGCTTCGAGGCAATTGCGTCCTCATGAAATTAATTATCCTACTCATGACCTAGAATTAGCCGCGGTGGTTTTTGCTCTTAAGATATGGAGACATTATCTATTTGGGGTGAGATTTGAGGTGTTTAGTGATCACAAGAGTTTAAAGTACTTGTTTGATCAGAAAGAGCTAAATATGAGGCAGAGAAGGTGGATGGAATTTCTGAAGGATTATGATTTTACATTGTCTTACCATCCCAGGAAGGCAAATATGGTTGCTGATACTTTAAGTAGGAAGTCCTTGCATATGACAAGTATGATGGTGAAAGAATTAGAGTGATTGAAAGAATTAAGAGTCTAGCACTTTCTGATACTTTAGTGCCAAAAATCAAAACTTTTTCTTTACAGTCCAATAGAACATGGTTGGATGACAACCAATCCATTCTCAAAATTACATCAAGTTGGGAAAGAAGTAAACAAATCAAATCTATATTAAAACTCCTACCATGTACCATCACAGGATAACCTAAACACACAGAAGAAGTTGTTATGGGCTTACCCGTAGAAGTAGATACAATAACATCATAAGACAATTCAGATATAGGTAATTTTAGACATCTCATACAATCCACAGAAATAAAAGAATGAGTAGCACCAGAATCAAACAAAACATCTAAAAGTTAGTCTTTTATGATACATTTACCTCTAATAAGCTCATCTGATTTTGAAGCCTCAACTCCACTCATAGCAAAAACTTTGCCTTCCACATTTGGCTTTGTTCCAGTGCTTGTTCTAGATTCAGGTCTTTGTACAACACTCATGTTTCTGCTCTTTTGTAGAGCAGACCAACAGACACTTGCAGAGTGTCCCATTTTCCCACAAATGTCACATGTTAATGGAAGTTGAGGACAATTTCTTTTAATATGAGATCCACTACAATTGAAAGATTTTAGTGGCCTTCTGAAAGAACCAGAACCACCACTACTATCTTTTTGAGATACAGTCCCTTTCACTTGAGACTAATTTGGACTAGAGTATGGTCATCTAGAAAATCTTGAAGGCCTTCGGTCTTGCCTCACAGGACCACCAATTATGGTATCTACCGTCTTACCCTTAGTATTGGCTTCAAATATTCTGCATTTACTCACTAGAGTGGGTAAATTTGTCAGTTGGAATACACTAATGGCAGCTCGAATATATGGCCTCAGCCCATGCTCAAATTGAGCACATAGATCTGCCTCTCCATCATCATGTTGATAGTGAGGCCAGTATCTCATCAATTCATAAAATTTAGCAACATATTCACCTACAGACATGTTTCCTTATTTCAACTTAAGGAACTCTCTAACCTTCTGTTTTTTTAAATCTTTAGGGAAATAATTTCCCAGAAAGCTTGCCTTGAATATCTCCCAAGGAATATAACCATCTTCTTGCAGTAGAGTTTGACTAACAAATCTTCACCTGTCCTCAGCTTCTCCATTCTGCATATAAGTAGCATAAGTTACCTTATGCTCCTCTGTACATTTTATAACATGAAAAATTTTCTCCACATCTGCTATCCACCTCTGAGCTTCCTCAAGATCAAACTTTCCCTCAAATTTTGGAGGGTTATGCCTAGTAAAAGAAGAAATTCCTCTATACTCAGCTAGTTCAGCCTCCTGGTTATGTGCCAAAGTCTCTAAGACTTAGGTCATGTGCTCCAGGAGTTCATTTGTAGCACCATCATGTCTACCTTTACTAGCCATAGCTCTAATCTTACAATAAACTCAAATCACTTATTACTTTATCATTCACATATACATAGATACATTTAGTTTAAGTAATTCACATCTAACAAGTCATATTAGCAAATAATAATTTCGTATTCCAGTATATCTATTACACAACACAGATATGTTAGTCCTAGACCCCAGTCTGGTCTAAATGAACTGCTTTGATACTAAAATTGTAATGCCTAATATTTCTTTTCTCAATATATATATAAATTTTCATAAAAATTTAAATGATAAAGTAAATTTCTTTAAAAAAAAACTCTCTAATGAGAAAGAACAATGAAATGATATAAGGTTCATAGAGTAAAATTTCATTAATTCATAAGTACTTTAGAAAAACAAAGATTCTAAAATTTTCATCTGCAACAAAAAGAAATAGTAGTTTTACAACTGTTCCAAAGGAATGCTATAGAACTGAAAATATCCATTTCATAACTCAAAATAACTAAGTCTTATAACAGTTCCCATCCATCCATGCACTATGAGCCTGGTACTACTCGTCCTAGTTTCCTAAAAATGTGTAAGGGTGAGTCTCTAACCTACCACTCATGCATAACACATATTCGTCATAAAACACTTCTTATCACGATTAAAGAAAACATCATGGTATTACATATCATAGTGTCATATAAAGCAAGTTCTCATCTTAACACATAAACATATATTATATTCCACATATTCACAGTATCTTTTTCTTTTACCCCCGCTTATTGCGCCCTGTGGCCACAGTTATCCGATGTCTCTATTTCGAGGTCTTACACATCTATGTAAATAGTCGTCGGATGGCCCAATGCAACACAGATACAACACATGCAATAGACAACCCCTTAGCAAAGGTAATAATCAGGAGTCAAGTCAGAAAATGGGTGTGCGGCCATGTGGTGCATTCGTACATAATATTTCGTGCACAACCCTGAATGTCACTCACCATCCTGCATTTTCCAAAGATATCTTATATCGTCTCCATCTTCCACTCTTCCAGTGTATCTGTGTAATTATTTACATTATATCTTTTTCCATCTCATACTCTTTCGAGTATATTCACATGTTCACATATGTCATTTCACATGTTCACATATATTTTTTGTTATATTTTCACATACTTTTCATCATATACATCAAACCATGGCATATTCACAATACACATCATTTTTACATAAACCACAATATATTCAAACATGAAGCATGCATCTCTTTGTATATTTCATATCACATAATCATAAAATCATATCAACCATCCTTAATATACCTTATCATGCACTATTTGAACATAATAACACATTTTCACCATGTATTCATCATAAAATCACATAAACAACCAATTATTCTCACTTTTCACCGATTATTTTTTATAAAATAAGGATTATTCCACATATAATTACATATATGACAAGATTTATGAGAATATAAGTAATAAACATAACAAAATGATAAAGTAGAGCCCTCTTACCTCAAAACAAAGCTTTTACAAAGATTTAACTCTAGAACAGAGTTTTTTCTAAAAATACCATGAACATCTATAAGAAAAAGAAAAAGAAGAGAAACGAACAGTAAATTTAACTTCACAATTAGAGAAACTTACTTGAAATCCTTTAGAACGGACGTATAATCATAGATCTGAAGAGAAATCTAAGTTTATGAGGGTTTAGTATGAGAGAAAATGGTGACCTTGGAACCTTTGAGAACCTTGGATAGGAGTGAAGAAATGAAAATTTCATGTGAAACCCTCTTTTTATAGAAAATTTTCAAAATTGAAACCTTCTTTTTATAGAAAATTTTCAAAATTTACTGTTCATAGCCGAAAATACTGTTCGCGATCATTATTCACGTGCAGAAATATTATGCACGCTACGTGACGTCACTGATGACGTTATCATTTTCTATTTTATTTTTTTTTAAATATAAATTTCATCCAAATCTATTCTAATTATACTTTAATAAATCTTATTTTATTTAAATCAAAGTGTAGGATGTTACAAAAACAAGATAAGAATAATTTTTTTTGCATATTTAAACCAATTGAAATACAAAGTTGAAGGTATTTAGTACCAATCCTAAGTTGATTATAAATATAATAATGTCATGAAGAAAACAAGAACAACCAAGGTTACAAATAAATTATTTCTTGACCATCTACAATTATAGTTATTCTATTCTTTTATTTCTGTTATAACTTATCATATACGAATTTTTAGTTTGGTCTATTTAGTAACAATGATGTATAAACAATGTCTATAAATAATAACCTGATGGGAATAAAAAGAAGATTTGAAAATAATTAGAGCAAAAAAGAAGAAAAGCTATAATAGGTGAAAATGCATTCACAATGAAAGTTACGGTTGCATAGAGATGAGATAGGAGGAAAAGGAAATAGAGAATCTAGATAATGAATAATTAAAGGATGACATGTTTAATTGCTTGAAGAATGAAGATACTAATGAAGTGACGATTGATAATATGAAAATTAGTAACAATTTTTACCTAAGATTTTTATGGGGAATAACTATTCCTATGACAAACATTCAAAATATGTCCAAATGTATAAGTTTTGATGTTTTTTACCTTTTACACTTATAGGTTAAACGATTTCTCTATTTTGTGTCTAAAATCACATGTTAACAATAAATTTAAATTTTTACATCATTTTTTAAATATTTTTTTATGTGAAAAAGTATTATTTATTTAAAAAGTCTTGATTTTATTTTTTTCTATTCAACAGGGTTGAAAAGCTTAAAGAATAACAAAAAACTTAAACAAAATACCTAAGAGTACAAATTCTAAAAAAATATAAACTCAAAGAAAATGTACAACTTAATTGGAGGCTCTTCAAAAAAGTACAAGACAAAAGGCCATCTAAACCTAATTTAGCAAATTTATAAACACTTTAATTAGTCTCTCTATAAATATGGGCAAATATAACAAACTAAATAGAGTTCAAAGTCTATCTAATGGATTAGATTATAAAGAAAAGGGGATGACTACAATTTTGAATATTTAAAATCAAATTCATAATCTCCTTAGAATCACTTTAAATCCAGATATAATTTAGCACAAAGGGGTGAATACAAATCAAGTATACTAGAAAAATAAGTCACAAACATCCCTTGATAAACAAGAAGCAGCTTGCCTAGATAGAGAAGGGAACTCATCCACATTAAGTTTAAATTGCTTAAAAATAAGAGGTGGCCAATTGATCATAACAAGATCCTTGGCCAATTTAGGAAAAGCACTGAAACAACTCCTTAAAACAAAGAAAAAACATATTTAGTATAAACCAAAATATTAGGTTGACATAATTATAATTAAAGACAAAGGAATTTTGATCCATCCATAAATACCAAGAAATAGCATCAAATAATAAGTTCCAATTCAAGAAATTATTCTATGTACGTTTATGAAGATTACAATATAAAAAATAAAAAATTCCAGTACTAAAAAAATAGCTCCATTTATTATGAAAAATAAAATATTCACTAACCCAAGTAGCATAAAATAGTCTCTAATAAGGACATGCATAACAATTTCAATAATCTCTCGAGGTAAAGATTAACACTAGGAATTCCTGTTGTGAATCTCTCATCGTTTGTTAACAACTTACCATAAGTCACTTTTCAAAGAAATAAATTAATTTTAGGAGGTTATCCTTATTTCCAAACCAGTTTAAGGGCATTATTAGTATTCTTAGAGAAAAATCACTTTATCTTTAATTAAACGAGTCAATCTTTTAATGCACATCACAAAAAAGTAAGGAGAAATGAAATCTTCCATCCTTATGTCTCTAGAAGACTTAAATGGATTAGTATAACTATTCTGCCAATTCAGACTCAGAAGAAGAAAAAATATAGCTACGAATAATATTGAGAAAGTTAAAACTAAGACCAATTTTTTGAAATGTATCAATAAAAAATTCATCTAAGTTTATCGTATATTAATTTTTTATATTATTTCATAATCATATAACTAGTTTTACCTATCTATTTGTTAAATGAATGAACTAATTCTTGAAAAATAATTACATTATCAATGCTCATTCAATAAAATTATACTAATTTCTATATATTAATTAAGACAAAGAATCCTTAAGACTATTTGCTAAAAGTTATGTGATAATTTTATAACTAACATTGTATAAATAGATAGGTCTGAAATTATTAATTATTTTAGAATTTTAAAAAAATTTCAACCTAAGGATAATCAAAGTTTCATTCACAATAGAAACTTCTTAGGACTAAGTTAAAAATATCCTGAAGTGCTTTAAACACAAAGGGAGCTAAAATAGTCCATTGGGACTTGAAAAACAAATCATGTAATCTATCTAGACTAGGAAATTTAAAGTTTCCAATACTAAAAATAGAAGTTTTAATCTCCTTTGTAGTCAAATTAACATATAATCTATCATTATCACTTTTTCTAAAAAGAGGGGGGAGAATGTTCTTTTAGAACTTTTATAATATTCTTTTGCCTACAAAATATCACAGTTTTATAAAAATTTAGAATTTTTATCACCTAAAATAATTCATAATGATTATACCAACATGGTTTATCATGAGCAAGAATCAACTTATTTTCATTTCACAAAGATTTCATAAGATTTATTATAAAAAGAAATTATCACAAGAGGCAAACTTATGGAAAATGCCTTCAATTATGTTAAAAATTCATTTTTTTCTATTAAAAATATTATGAAAGGTAGACTTATTCCATTAAAAAAATATTTATCCTAAATTTGTAAACAATCCAAAATCAAGAACAATAATTAACCTTAAGATTTTCTCAATTGGATTTAAAAATAAGAATGAGAAAATCAAAGAGCAAAGAATTTAAAGAGCTTTTATCATTTGAAAATCACTCCCATTTCTAATTTTAAGCTATCAAGCAACACAATTAAGCTTAGGAATATGAATATAAATTACAAAACTATTTTTAAAATCAAGTCTTCAGGCATCATTAATTACAACCCAATCTAACCTGTTTTTAAGCATACATTTTGTTAAGTAAAAAAGTTTCATTTATAATCCAAATCTTGAAGGTCATATTTATCTAAATATTCAACAAACTCTCAAAAATGTTAATATTAACAAGATCTCAACCATTTTTCATTTTCATAAAGCACAAAATTAAAGTCTCCAACCACATGTCAGGGAAGGCTAATATAAGCGCTAAACTTAATTAACTCATACACAACCCAATTCCTTTGACTACAATTACTAACTTTCAAGATGATAAAAAATTTAGATTTTGAAAGAATATAAATTTAACTTTAGTAGTATTTCATAGATATAAAATCCCTCCTAAGAACCCAATGCATCCACTCTAGCAAACCTATCTAAATTAATTTTCATAACAATTGACTCAACACTTTCTTAACTAATTTTAGTTTCAAACAAAACAATTAAATCAATATTATACATAATAAACAGATAATTAACTAATTTAAAAAAGTCTTGTGACTTATTCCTCTACAATTCAGAAAAAACAATTCATTACGACTTTAAATCAAAACAAGATGCATTTTGAAGATGTTGATTATATTCATGGACATGACATTCTTATGACTAGGTTCCTCAAAAGATTCAAATGACTTATTTCTCTTAAAGTCTTTTATAAAGAGATTTGTCAACATAGATGACTAAGTGAAGTTTGGAGGATTATCTGTAAGCTCTTTATTTTTACTAACTTAGAAATGTCATTTGCTGTCTAAATTTACTCCAAGTAAATTTTAGATAGGAGATTTCTCACCGTAATTCTTACTTAATTCCTTTTGTAATCTACTCATGAGATGTAAAACTTCCTTATCCTTATTTTAATCTAAGAAAATAGCCTTGCTAAGAAAGGTATCTTCAATTGAAACAATATTAAATCTAGATTGTGAAGAAGTATCTATTCTTTTACTATTGTGATGACTCCTGACTAACATCCTAAAGTCAAACAATTATTGATTAAAGTTCAAGGAATCATCCTTATTACTAGATTAAACCTCATTCCTAATATGATTAACTTGTGAAATGAACTCACTCCTCCATGTCTAAAACTAGCTAAAAGAAACCAGTCACATTTATCCAAATCAATGCTTTTTTTTTTCCTGTTTATGCATGTATTTCTCACAAATAAGACATATTAGATGCAAGCTTTTATACTTAACTTCAAATTCATGACTTAAAACTTTAAAGGTATGGATTAATTTTTTTTAAAATATAATTTTACACAAATCATAGCAAACTTATCTTCCACAAAAGAAAAGTATGAAGATGTATTTTTAGTATAGAACTTAAATAATCCAAATTTGCCATAAAAAATTTTCATTATAAAACTCTAAAAAAACTAAAAATTCTAACTAGACATTTTCCTATTGAATGATCTTTGACTACGTTTTCAACACAAAACTCAATAGATTTAATAATTTAACATAAAAAGGTAGTTGAAAAAAATAGGATTATCCAAGTTTTAAAAGGTTGCTTTAATTATATTTTTAATCAATTTAACACATGATAATAAAAAAAAGTCATTTTATATTTTTTATATTTTTATGTATGTCTAAAATTACAATAAAAAATAACCCTTTTATAAACATTTATTGAAAATTGCAAAATTCAACACATTAAGAATATTAAATATTATAAATTTTAATAAAAATATTATTTATTAATTTTTATTATATATCACTTACGTTATAAAAACAATTTATTTATTTTTTTATTTTCATTTCTTTCATTAAATTATTTTCCTTGTCCCCTTTTCTTCTCTTCTCAACCAAAATGCCAAGGCCTATGCGGCATTTATTTAACAAGTGGTCCACTGGGTCCACTGCACCATTTAGTATCATATTTGAAGTAGCTGAGTGAATGTGATGGTCACAACCGCCATCGCAACGTTCGCCGTCGCCATCGCTGCTTATACGGCCGTGTCACTGTCGCGCAGCTTGTCACTGTTCAGATCAAGATTTTCATCTGTGAAGTTTAAGAGGGAAATGCCCTTTTGAACTACTAATTAAGACATCTAAAGGTGTGTGTCTCTCTCTCTATATATATACACTACTAATTTTTAATGATACGTACGATAAAAGTAAGAACTAACGACATGAACAAAGAAAACGTTATTAAAAACCCAAAATGTCGACTTGAAGATCCACTGATGAAGGAGTGGTGTAATTGGCTAATTGCAAACGCAAAGGTGTAGGTGCAGTGTCAATCAGGACGGTGAAACTTTACCTGACAAACCTGAGAAGAACCTCTTTGTAATTTTCAAAAACACCACCTCACCTGTTAGTTTTAACTGTTTGCAAGTTGTTAACTAAAATTATTGACGTAAACATCATTATATCCAGCGATTACAATTCACAGCTGCACCGCTCCATAGCAAATTGTGGATGAAAAATTAATAACAACATAATGCAAGTCATTGTAAGTTTTTTTAACATTTTTATTTTGAAATGATTTTTATTTTATTTTTACTAGTAGATTAATTTTTACACACTAGAAAATGATCTTATATCCATTTGTTGAATGAAACGAAATTCCAATTATCACACCCTTTGCTTCCTAGATATAGAAATGGATTGCTACCAAACTCGTGTCTGGTCAGTTTTTGCAAATCCGGTACATGTGCAGCATGCGAACGATTGATAACAATCCACCAAAATATAAAATAATAATATAGTTACTGTATTATATGTTTTTGTTAATTTATTATTGTACATGGTACAAGGTTCAACTTGTCACTTTGCTAGTCCTCGTCCATGTCGGTGGAATCCCCTCTTCCCGCTCGGTTGTGGATCCATTCACATTTAATTACTATTTTCCATTTTCTATTTTAAATAAAAAGTATTAAACAAAGTATGGCCATCACATCGTGTTCCAGATCTGATTCTTAAGGCGCGTGGATGGAGGGATGTTGGATTGGAATTGGGATTATAATTGGGATTATGAATTGCGGCAGAAGCCGAGATGCCCAGGTTATTCAGATCCAGTAATATTTGCCACATAATAAATTATATTTATTTAATAAATAATTTAAAAATCCATGTTAGAGAATGTACTTTATTTTTTTAGTGGAATTGCTTCTTACATTGTCGGTTACTTGTTCATTCTGCTCTGTACCATTTAAGCCTTTGGTCAAAGCACCAACAACCAAACTTCTAAATGCTGTTTCCATATTTTGGTCAAGTTGTAGGTAACTTGGCAATACTCACCCCCTCACTCCCTTTCCTCGAAATGTATATGTTGTTGTTAACAATATTATTAAAGCAGTGAAACAATTTTTATCTGCATTTTGAACTAGTAATAATCATCACCAACTCATTATGTTTGTTATGTTTGAATTAATTATGAAAATCTTACTGGTATTAAATATCCCATGCTCCCCCTTCACATTTTCTCTTTTATGGCCTCAGTTTGATTAGTAAAATGATAAAAATGAGGTGAAACTAACAAATAATTTTATCGATAAAGTTATATTAAAAATTGTTCCATTAAAATGCCGGACTTTTTTTTTTTTTTCTTGTTGACCTTTATTCGTATAGGAAATTACAATTCTTTGGTTATTTTGGGAAATAATTTCATATTGTTAAAATACCATATTTTTAATCTTATTTATCTTTTAATAAATATTGATAAAATCAAAGTATTGATTAGTGGTAAGCAGATTCTTAAATGCGATAAGTACAATTCATCAGGAGCCTAGGGCCTTACCTGACTTGATTTGGTCCGTTTGGCGAAAAAGACTACATATTAATAAGTCTTTTCAAGAACTTTATTTCACTTTTTTGGATGCAAGAAAAATGAGAGAGAAAAATCTGTTAGAATGGAATTCATAAAATTAAAAGAATGACATAAATAAATTGCTTTATATATTTTTTTTCTCTGTGCTTTGCTCTTTCACACCTCTATTAAATGAAACTTAATGGATTAATATATTTAGATAGCGATATTTGGAAGAAAAGAAAGAGGGATAAATTTTTAGTTTAAATTGAGAAGGTTATAAAATATTTATAAACATGAATAAAGAATTAATGAATATATTACCTAATAATAATTTAATGTGCTCATTTCATTTTAAAGTGTTCAAAAGTAAAATATTGATAGAAACTAAAATAATCTATCTTCTATTTCTTTCTAAATGGAGTTTTTTATTACATTTTAATGTTCATACTATTCACTCTTTTAATTGATTTAAAATACTAGTCAAATTAAAATTTTGTCTCGACTTTATGTTTTCTCGTTTTAATTTTTTTATAAACTTATATATTTTGATTTATACATGAATAAAATATTTACCAAAAATATTCTGCCATTTGCTCATGTTACAATAAAAATTTAGTCACGACACACAATTTAATGAGTTATTTAAGTTTTTCATAGATTATTGTGGTGATAAATTGAATACTATTGTTAACCTAAAATCTTAAAGTTTTATTTAAATAATTAATAATAATAACAACTTTTTTAAAAATATTTTATTTTATATTTTAATTACATATTTTTATCTTTTAATATTTTTTAAATTATTTAAACTCAACTCTAAAATTGAAGTGAACAAAATTTAAAAAAAAAGTAATACCCTAATTTTTATATTTACATATTTTAAAACTTTAATCATACATTTTTATAATTTGAAATTTACAAGAATAGCCTCAGCCGCACAAAATTGTTACCCTTGTTAATGCTCAATTCTTAGTCCTTGCGGCTGCCCTCAGTCCGAATCTCTGTTTTTTTTTTTTCACATTTTTTATTATTTAAATATTCACTTAGGAAAGAAAAAGAAATGATGTGGTAAAAAATTATTTACCAAAAAACTTATATTTACCTTCATCTAAAAAAATAATAAAAATTTAAACATGCAATCTAACAAATTTATAGTCTGTCTTCATGTATTGGATCAATTTATCAGAATTATTATTTTCTTTTCTCAATCTCACTCTCCCGTTCCTGGAATATTTTATTTATTTATTTCGTCGGCAAATTGTAAAAGAAATTAAATTAGGCATTGACACATTGGCGGTAGCGACTAAACTCTGCTATTAAAACAAGAACTGCCAACAGCTTCAAATTCACACTTCTTTCTTTCTGTCTCTCCGCAAACACAATGAACAGAGAGTACTCTGTTCTTCACTCTCAGATCTGCTTCTCTTCCAAGAACTAGAGGCACACGCTCCCAATCTTAGCCTGTCAGATCGTGTAAACCTTTCAACTCGCGTCTTCTTATTCCGACTTCGCCATTTTTTGCTGCGAATAAACGAACCTTTATCTTCTTGCTCTTTTCACTCACTTCTCGTTCTTCAGCTAAACCTGTTTATTTGTCTGCGTTGAATCTTCTTCTGCGGCGTTGGCGTAAGTTTTATGCTACTGTTTGGTTTTTTTCTGATAATCCAGATCCATGTCATTGTTGTTTCTTTTTATCGAGTTTTCTGTCATATGTACTGAGAATATCTCTTTATTACGAAAAGAAAAGAAAACCATGCTTAAAACATTCAAACCGTTTAATAATTATTTTTTTCAGCATTTAAAGAGTTACATTCAATGTCGCACTTCAGTATTTTGAAGATGCGGTAATCGGAATCTGTGTTGGTGTTGAATTTTGCTGATTGTCATGCAAAGAACACGAAGTGTTTCTATTTAACTTTTTTCAACTTTGAAATGAGAAATCTGTGATTCGTCTATTTCATGCTGTGGTTTTACTGATTGGACATGAGATTTGTTTAGCTTTTATTGTGTTTGATTTTGTTAACTAGTCGTGTACATGCAGTTTGGTGTAGCTGTTTGTGAGCGGTGTTTGATTGTTGTTTGGTTGTGACCAGGTATATATCATCTGTGAATTTCCTCTAGCAAAATGGCTTTGGGGAAATATACTAGAGTAGATGGTAGAAGATCAGCATCGAGTTGCTGTTCGACGGTGACTATTGTGGCGTTTGTGGCTCTATGCTTGGTTGGGGTTTGGATGATGACATCGTCTTCTATAGTCCCCACGCGGAATGGAGATGTGTCTCAGGAGAATAAGAATGAGGTGAAAGAACAAAGTGAGGTGAAAGAACAGGCGAGTGAGATCAATAATAGCAATTCTCGGCAGTTCGAAGATAACCCGGGTGATTTGCCTGAGGATGCAACCAAGGGGGACAGCAGTGTCTCTGAAGACAATTCTAGTTTTTTGGATAAACAAGCAGAGAAGTTGGACGAAAATCCTGTAGAGAAGTCTTCTGAAGACACAAAGGGGGAAGATTTGGATAAGAAAACGGAGGATGAAGGTTCTAATGTGGAAAACGAATTAAACTCAGAAGCTGCGGAAAATAACAAGGATAGAGACGAGTCTTCCAACAAGGAATCTGATTCTGATGAGAGTGGAAAGAAATTTGAATCAGATGATAACACAAAGTCTGATTTGGATGAAAGTGAAAAGAAATCTGATGATTCTGATGAAGCTACAGATAGTAAGATAGAGGAGAAGGTGGAACAAAGTGATAACAAAGAATCTGATGAAAATTCTAGGGAGAAGGATACAGAGGATAATGCCAAACAGCAGAGTTCAAAAGAGGTATACCCTTCTGGGGCTCAGTCAGAGCTTCAAGATGAAAGTACAACACAAACTGGGTCTTGGTCAACTCAGGCAGCAGAGTCAAAGAATGAAAAGGAGTCTCAAGAATCCTCCAAGAAGAAAACTGGGTACAAGTGGAAACTTTGCAATGTCACTGCTGGCCCTGACTTTATCCCATGCCTTGACAACTGGAAAGCAATTAGGAGTCTCCGGAGTACTAAACACTATGAACATCGAGAAAGGCACTGTCCTGAAGAGCCTCCAACCTGCCTTGTCTCTGTTCCCAAAGGATATAAACGCCCAATTGAGTGGCCTGAAAGCAGGGAGAAGGTAGATACAATCTTAAATCTTGTCAATTATCATTCTTTGTCTGACCATTTACTCTTCCATAAAATAGTAAACTATTCTCCTGCAGATATGGTATTACAATGTCCCACACACCAAGCTTGCTAAAGTTAAGGGCCACCAAAATTGGGTGAAAGTCATGGGAGAATACCTTACTTTTCCTGGTGGTGGAACCCAATTCAAGCATGGGGCGCTTCATTACATTGACTTTATACAAGAGGTAATACACATACTGATACACTGAGCTCAAATTTTCTTTTATACATGGCCATAAATATATAGGCTAGTCCATAAATTGATATTACATGTTCTGTAACAAATGAAGTATCCATTAGTTGTATTTTACCTCCCTATGAGAAAATTTCCCATTCAATATTTTATATACCATCTCTCTGCTTATATCGATGTCTCTTCAATTATCTTCAAAGAAATAATAAAAAAAGGATAAGGGAGGATTGGGATACTATTGTTACAACTGCCACAAACCTCCATATAACTTGTATATGTCTAGCATTTATGATGCATTCAGATTTTTTGACCAAAATACAGACAGCTTAATCCCTAACTTCTCAATTTCCTTAAAAGGAAAAAATATTTCACAGCCATGGATATATAGCCTCTTAAAAAGACCTGTCATTATTAGAATAGAAAAGCAAAAAGAGAAGAGAGTTATGCCAACTCCAGCCTGTAGAAACTATAAAGTACAAATCTTGTAGATCTAAGCTCATTGGAGGCATCTCAGAGGTGCTGGTATGAGACTTGTCTAGCTTTTCACTTTAATATGATACCTGGAGCAAGAACTTATTTGATAATATCTTGACATAATTATGATTATTTTTCATCATCTGATGCAGGGTTTAGACCTAAATTGGTAAAAAATTGCAGATAGGGTCCACACTAGGAAACAAACAAATAGTAAACAGATACAGAAATGGCAGTACAATTATGGTATTTGGATTTGAATGGACTTAATAAGTTCAACGATGACCTTTTGCGCCAAGTTGCCAACTGCCAATAAAGGAAATTAAGTTACATAGGATGGTAAACCTGTTCCCCTCTCTTATGTCTAACCAGGGCAAGTCCAGGCAAGTAGGAACTATATACATGTGGTGTACTGGGAAACAACCACAACTTAGCATTATGCAGATATAGCTAATTTCTTTGATGATTTACAAACTATCTTCTTTATCAATAGCAAAATTTATGCTATATAGTGTAGTATGAGGATAATCTTTATGCTTTCATCTTAGAATTGGTCTGGGATTTTATAATTTGTTTACTTGATGCTGTTAAGCATTTTACATAATAGAGCTTTGTTGATACAGTCTGTACCTGCCATTGCTTGGGGAAAACGCACACGTGTTATATTGGATGTTGGATGTGGTGTTGCCAGCTTTGGAGGTTTTCTTTTTGATAGAGATGTACTTGCAATGTCACTTGCACCAAAGGATGAACATGAAGCTCAGGTACAATTTGCACTTGAAAGGGGGATTCCTGCTATATCTGCTGTGATGGGCACAAAGAGGCTTCCCTTCCCTGGGGAAGTATTTGATGTAGTCCATTGTGCACGATGTAGAGTTCCATGGCATATAGAAGGTATTCCAATTACATTACTTTTATTTTGGTGATTCATTATACAGCATTTTTCTAAACCATATTCATCAAGGCATTTACATTTTAAGAGAACATATAAATTCATTAAATTGTAGTTATGTAAAATGCACATGAGTGCAACTGGACTTATTTTATACTATTATTGTTATAATTAATATCTGGAGAAAATGAGAGGCAATTGATGGAATCCATTTGTTTGAAATATGCAAGGATGTTGTATTATAGAGTTCAATGTTACATCTGAAAGAATCATCAATATTCTAATTTCTGTCATTACGAGATTTGATTAGTTTACTTATTTTGTATATATTTTTCTGCAATTATTATTGTACAACTGCAGGTGGTAAACTTCTTTTGGAGCTGAATAGAGTGTTGCGACCTGGTGGTTATGTTGTATGGTCTGCTACCCCAATTTATCAGAAGCTTCCTGAAGATGTTGAAATATGGAATGGTAGATTATAGCTAGACTTATGTCTGAGTCTGACACTTTTATGCATCTTAGTGTAGGTTTCTTACCCTGACATTTTATGAATTCATTCACAGCCATGAAGGCGCTAACAAAAGCACTGTGCTGGGAACTTGTGTCGATCAACAAGGATCAAGTAAATGGAGTTGGTGTAGCCATATACAGGAAGCCAAATTCTAACGAGTGTTATGAGAAACGTTCGAAGAATGAACCTACATTGTGTCCAGACTCTGATGACCCTAATGCAGCATGGTATGTCTTCATTAACTGAGGCATGTTCCATTTTTTAACCAAAACTGAAAAGAACTGGGTTAATTGATCTTTGACTGTAACACTGAGAAAACTTTAAAATAAAGTGGTATATTTGTTTTAAAAACCCCCTGCCTCTCCCATTTTGTTGAAAGAGGGAATATTTATATGAAAAAATATATGTATCAAGATGAAACAGCACTACTGATACAATTGAAGGGTTTTGGATGTTTCTGCTACAAGGTTTATCTGCTAACTTTTCAATAACGCTGTAGTATTATAACATATACATGCAGTCTAATCTTTTTGATGTGACAGGAACATTCAATTGCAAGCTTGCATACACAAAGTGCCAGTGCCAGTTAGTTCAACAGAACGAGGGTTGAAATGGCCAGAGCAGTGGCCATCCAGAGTGGCCAAAGTGCCTTATTGGTTGTCGAGTTCCCAAGTGGGAGTTTACGGAAAGCCTGCCCCTGAAGATTTCACTGCTGATTATGAACACTGGAAACGCGTAGTGTCCAAGTCTTATCTAAGTGGGATGGGAATTCAGTGGTCAAATGTACGCAATGTCATGGATATGAGATCTATCTATGGAGGGTGAGCAAAAGTTGTTTCAAATGTTACTCTGAATTATGTTCACTCGTTGATATGCTCTTTGCTTGACATCTTTGACTATTTGTGGTTTTCAGATTTGCTGCAGCTTTGAAAGATTTGAATGTTTGGGTCATGAATGTGGTTTCAGTAGATGCCCCAGACACTCTTCCCATTATTTATGAACGAGGACTTTTTGGTATATATCATGATTGGTGTGAATCATTTAGCACCTATCCTAGGTCCTATGATCTCCTCCATGCTGATCATCTGTTTTCAAAGATTAAGAAAAGGTGCATATATTTCATTTCTCATTCATCACCAGCAAACTTTTGGTTATCTGTTTAGTTTTAAAACTGTTACTCTGGTTTTGCTAATGCTTGCTTGGTCACACAGGTGCAATTTAGCTGCTCTAGTGGCTGAGGTTGATCGGATTCTTAGGCCTGAAGGAAAGCTTATCGTCCGTGACACTGTTGAGATCATTGACGAGCTAGAGAGCATGGTGAGGTCTATGCAGTGGAAGGTTCGCATGACTTACTCCAAGGATAAGGAGGGGTTGTTGTGTGTGCAGAAGACCATGTGGCGACCAAAGGAGCAGGAGACACTCGAGTATGCTATTATTTAAGCATGGATGAGATGTCAAAATTCTTGGAGTTTTGGCCACTCGAAAGTCTGGATAACTGTTCTTCCACTATGAGTCCTGTACCATGTTAGCTAGGAATCTATGTATTCTTCTTTTTCCATGAGTATTAATTTTGATATCCTCTATTTATATTTATTTAATTGTTATCCTTTGTTGTAACATGATGCCATACCGTGAAGGAAAATCGATCACATTCTTGCAAATGTAGAGGCCATTGGTTTATAAGCGTAATAGTCTTGAGTTTGGAATATCCACTTGACCATAAATGGTAGTATTAATCTCTATTATAAGTAATGCGTACTTGATGGATCGATTTGATCAGTGAATTGCTCAGGTATTGGGTTGGTTAACATGATGAATTAGATAGGCTTCTAAACTGGCATGAACTGACGTGACTTTTACCGGTTTAGTGAAAAATCGGTGAAGGGGCTTATTCAAACAAAAGCCTTTTAAGTATGTATCAACAAAATTTAAATGAAAAGGGATTGGCAGTTACTCGTCCCCAAGCCATTAGGGCTCATCCTTTACTGGCATACCATCTCAGAACCTTTTGTCATACGATTGCTAATTTCCAGCACACCTAGCAGCGTTTGTCCACAGCCAGCCCAATGGGCAAAACATCGTGCATGTTCAGTTTCATGGTAGAAAACTGTAAAATGTGTGCTTACAACATAAATATTACTCTTTATTGTGTTAATTGAATTCGCCTTAAAGTAAAATTAGCGCAATTCCAAACATGTTCATCTCATTATTATCCCATGTAGCAGAATCAGTCTCGAAGCTTGTGTAGGCATTGCATCCCTCCTCGTTTGTTTTTGCTAGACTGGGATAACACTTCAGTGCACTAACACAAACCACATAGAATGGTCAAACGTCATAGGTTCAGCTGATGGCATCAACTTAAATAAACCAAAGAAATTCATACTTCAAATTAAGGAGAAAATATATAGGTTCGTAATTTGCTTCTGATGCGAATGACTTGGTAAAACTCTAGCTCATTGCTTATATAATATTTTTTTTATGAAGTTATAATAATTTTTTAGGTGGAACTTCTAAATACCCACGCCACAAGCAACGAAAGAACAACCAAAGTACAGCTCAGTCATCCGTACAGGGACATTTGAACTCTTCAAGAGAAAGTCAAATTTAATTCAATGCTTCCAGAAGTCTTGTTCGTGATAATTTCTTTGTTGGTCCTTGAATAAGCAATATTTTAAATACTAATGACAATACAAGCTAATTAGCAAGGCAATCAACATTAATTAATTAATGTCAAGAAAGGTGTATCTAGTGAGTTTTATGCATTTTTATTTGTTGGATTGGGTCGTGGCAGTTACATGAAGTGCTCCACCTACACATCAAGAGCGAGTCGAAGGGGTTTCAGTTTCACTGGTGAAAATCAACGGTATCCATTTTATTCTTTTTTTAACTTTTACTAGCAAGAGCCCTTCTAACTTGCCTATTTTTGTGCTCCTCTTTTATTTTATCTATACAATCTCTAATCTCCTAAAACGTTCATACACGTTCCTCTAAGAGAGGCATGGAAGATGAAAGCCACAGCAATTTGCCAAATGGGCTCATCGCAGGAAGCCCTGAAAGCCCAAGCTTAAAGACATGCAACAACAACAACACTTCTAACACCATCACCACCACCACCAATAGTATCAACAAAGAACAAGATCGCTTTCTCCCTATTGCCAATGTTGGAAGAATCATGAAAAAGGCCATCCCTAGCAATGGGAAAATCTCAAAGGATGCAAAAGAGACAGTTCAAGAATGTGTATCAGAGTTCATCAGCTTTGTCACAGGAGAAGCCTCTGACAAATGTCAAAGAGAAAAAAGAAAGACCATCAATGGGGATGATATCATATGGGCCATCACTACCTTAGGATTTGAAGATTATGTTGACCCATTAAAATCCTATCTCCAAAAATATAGAGATATAGAAGGGGAAAAGGTTAATATTCCTAAGCAACAACGTTCTGATCAAAGGCTACATCAACAACACCAAGACCAAAATAATAATCTACCTTTAAGTAGTGTATATTCCTCAGCAAATCTCATTTCTCAACCTCCTTATGTAGCCACGGATCAACTATTTTCCCTTCCATTCTCCCCAAATTCAATTCAGAAACAATTACAGCCGCAAGACCAGATCGATTCAGTTGGCCAATGGTAAGATTAAGAGCAGGATTTTATTTCACTCATGGTAATTTTTTATATATATATATAGTTATGCGTGTATATGAAAATAACGCCAAGTTTATTATACACACACTTAGATATAAGATGTGAGTTAATTTTCAAAGAGAATGCTTAAGGTTTTTGGTTTGTATTTTGTTCAATGACATCCATATCTTGGTTTTATTCTTTATATAGAGGAATCGCTGATTCTTTAATTGTCTGTGAAGATCATGGCAATTAAAGAAGCAACTAATTAGAAGATAAGATTATTAAAACAATAACATCTGTCACCTAAGAAAGGCGCTAGTTTTATGTACGAGTCTAAGCCAAGCATGCTCTTTATTGGGAAATTATGCTGTGCTTGCAGAAGAACTTTTCTTCAATCATGAAGTTGTTAATGGAAAATAACTAATCAGATCAGTTATTCCTCTCAAGGAGCAAAACAATTCATCATATTTGACTTTTATGATATTTAACTCTTCAAAAGGAAACGGTATGTAAAGTGAAAAAATAAGGATATAAAAAAAGCTCAGAGAATAGTAACCTCAAAACTTAATGCTAATATCATCCAACATTAATGAGGCTTAAGATTCAACTTGACAAAGACTTAAGTAAGCATAAAAGCTAAACTTGGAATTAGTTCATGTTAATCTTATTGTATATTTAAATTGTGCTTGAAAAGAGAAGACCTTGATTTTATAAATATATTTCACACACACACAGATATAACATATATATATATATATATATAATTGAACATTTTAAATCACTAATAATTAATTTTTAAATAACTTTAGTTTATTAAGAGCTAATATTCCTTTTCTGAAAAAAAGCCTCTTACTTTATTATAATTTTCTCGTTTCTCATAAAATGATTCGTCTTCCATTTCATTCCTTCACGTGATTAAAGATATTATTTTATTCTCCTTTTTGTATCTTCCATCACTAAACTCTTTTTTGTTTTGTTTTCATTTGTTAAAAGCCTACATTAAAATTGAGAAAAACAATAGATATAAGAGTCAAAATTGCTCTTAACATCTTACATTTATTAAGGGAACATCGCCATGAAATATATACGAGAAATTTTTAAAAACTAAAATTAGGTAATTATAATAATTTCTCAAAATTGGCTTTATAAAAAATTTGAATATAATAATTTAACAAATAATTTTACATATCAATAAACTTAAAATAAATTTTAAATATAATCATGATAATTATATTTTTCCTAATCTAAAAGAATTTTTATGGCAAAAATTAAATGATTAAATATATTATTAAAAATTATACTAACACTTAATATTTTGATACTGTATATCAATTTTTTTTATTAATATAATTATTTGTTAGTATGATAATATATCATATTATTAGCATAAATTTTCAACATCTATATTAGAAGTATATTTTTCTTTAGATAAGTCTTACACCAATAGTAGTATATTCTTTATTTTTCTTTTAATGCTTCATAAAAAGATATTGCTTTTCCTAATCAAATAGTTCATATTATGGGAAATAAAAGTTGCATTAAACTTAACTAGATAGTCAAAATTCAATCTAGAAAAATGGGAACTAAAGTGGGAGGGGGGGGGGGTTTATTATACGTGAATGGATGTCTTTTGAATAATTTTAAAAACTAAGGGGTAATTTGCACAAAGCTTGGGGAAGTTACTTATATTTTATCCATTAACAAGAAAGGTATGCAATTTTATTTTATTTTGCGAGTGCTAAAGATATTCTCAGGTCGTGAGACTATTTTCTTTGAAGAATAAAGATAATTTGGATTTTTCCTTTTTAAATAACATCTTTTTTTATATATACAGTCCAAAATTAAACTTCTGTTGACACATTTAATAAAGAATAATTGGTTCTTGGTCTTTTATCTAAAACTAAATAACAGAAAAGGTAATTACATATCACCTAAACTCATGAAATGTTTTTTATATTATGCCCCAATAATAAGATTCGTTAAATCAACTGATTATATAGAAAAGAAAAAAAATCAAGCATAGTATTTTAAATAATTTTAGGTAAAATTAAAAATTTATCTCAATAGTTAATATTAATTTTGTGTAATTTTTTATACACATTATTGTCAATTTTTACCGTACAAATTATTAAGTTTTAATTAAAAATAATAATATAAAATGGTGCACATAAATTTAGCCTAAAAAAATATGAATCAATTATAGAAAGTGTTTATGGCAATGGCTTGCTGCCACAAGACACAAAGTGCATAAGACAAACACACATGTAGTCGCAGAAGCACCACTGGTTTGTCCCACTGGCCTCTTTCGGCCACAAAGTGCCATGGTCCAGCTACCTTCCACTTCCTGCAATAGAACAAAAGCTAGGTATTATCATTAAAGAATTGTGATTGAAGATTCGACATTTTGTCCCCAGATCCAAGATTGTTCAAGCTTCTAATTGAGGTAAGTGACAGTGACCTTTTTATTTTCGTTTTTTAAAGTAAGTAACTAGGTGCTCAAACAATTGTCAAATAGACAAATATTGTCCCTTAAAATTTCAAGTTGATCTGAAAGCAAAACTCAATCAGGGAAATGAAATGATTTCAGCCTGGTGCCGATAGTTCAATGTTAATTAAGTGGTATACCCCATCTTTTGTTCTTATTTTGTGTTTGTTTAAGCTATTATACCGCTCCATTAAAAATATAATATGTGGCCTTGCATATATAATCATAAAAGTCATTACATAGAAATGAAATATTATCAAATCTGATGCATGCAATTATAAATTCAAAGGATTAGACACTAATATAAAGCCCTATTACATTTACAATGTGTGTGTTAGTCTATTTAATTTTATACTTTTTAAAAGAAAAATATTAATTTTTGAGAATTCTGGAAACCCTTATATGCATTTGACATGGTGTGACATGAAATGTCTGGATACTTGAAAATATTTGGTCAAGATTTTTTTAACTTCCATTTCAATATGATTAATTATAAATTCAAAGGATTAGACACTAATCTCAATCACAAGTTTTAGAAATTAAATTTGATTAATTATAAACTCGAATTCCCTCTACTCCTTATAATAAGTTATTTTTAAATATTAATAGTCTTAAATTTATAAAAATCATCTAATTAAATAAAAGATATGTTTATATATAATTGAATCAAATATTTATAAAAATTTATTATATAAAATATTATATTATAATTTAATTAAATTTTAGTAAATAAAATAAAAAATGTTGATAAAAGCAATTTATTAAAATAAATTTAAAAAACATATATAAGTTATGAATTATTTTTATAAATTTAAATAAATTCTTTATAAACTTTTTAAAATTTTTTCTTTTTCTAAAAGAAAATTAATCTACCTAAAGAATATGTTTTATGATAAAAAAAATTAAAATAAAATAATCCACCCTTACTTCAAACTATGCAAATTCTTTATTTCACAGTTATCACCACAATTGTTAGAATTGATGTTTATGTTTCGCATATATTTGCGGATTAATGATGAACTTCTTGAGCCTATTATGTTATTTAGTTAAAGTTATTGTAAATTTGTTGGCAGTGAACATCAAATGACGGTGCAAAATGTTAGTGATTGTAGTTAGATTTAAGATAATAAATTTATTTGATAATAATATATCTGTAATATTGTTTTTAGATATATTATTCAAGAGCGAGGTTTTGTGAACTAGTCACGTTTACATATATGTTGTGTTCTACTGAGTTCACTTTCATTTTATTTTAATCTACTAAACAAATATTACTTAAAAAAACCGTTTCATGCATGTCTATAATACCAAAGAAAACTATATGATTTTTAAGAAAATATAATAAATTGTTATTTTTTTCTCATATTTCATGTCATTCATTTTTGAAGTATGAAAAAACTATAAAATAACTTTTTAGAGCGTGAATTACAAGTTGAAAATCATTATGTTTTTCAAAAGTTACAAATGTATATATTTTTATATCATATAAAAAGTTAGAGCATATTTGATTTGTATTTTAAAAATAATTTTCTGTTTTTAAAAATAAAATAGTATCAATTTATATTATATTATATTTTTAAAAATAAAAAATTGTTTTTAAAACAGAAATTAAACATGCCCTTAATTATTAGTTTTTAAATGTTGCAAAAGGTATATATTAGCAACAATTTTAAAATATAACAAGAAAAAAGTAAATCATATCAGGTTTAAAAAATTACTGTTATTAATATGTTAAATTGTTATTAAATTTTTTTAGTAACATGATCATTATACGACATTTACTAAATTTACTCGACCTAATTAACAACATTTTTTCATAATTTATTAATATTTTTAAATATTACTAAATGTTAATTGCATAACAGTGAACTAAATTTCGAGTAAAAGTAAAAATAAAAAATAAAAAATCAATGCTTATGTTGTGATTTGAGTTTATTATTAATTCTTAGTTAGCTTTTCAAACTATTTTTTACTTAAAGTGTGTAAAAACAAATTACTTCACCTAATCGTATTTGAGTACATCACCTTATTTATTCTTAGTTAGCATGTTAAAACATTTTTCACTTGAAGTGCTTAAAAATAAATTACTTCACCTAATTGTATTTGAGTACATCACCTGACTAGCATAAATCTATTACTTGCATCAACTTAAATTAGGTTAAGAAGAGGAGTTTCATCTTGTAAGCCTCACTCTTTTCGTCCCTCAACTTTAATAGCTTTCTATTATTACGTTGTGGGGAACTCCTTTCTTTTGAAGTGGATTGCTTCTTTTTTTAGTAGAGTTTTTTTTTCTTCTTTTCGTTTGTGGATTTTTTCTTCTCTTTTTTGTGTCTTTTTATTCATATTTAATGATTTTTTTTTTGTAAATTCTTTTTTTCTATCCAAATTATCTCTTTCTTTTTTTTATATTTCTTTCATCCACATGTTATTCCTTCCTTCTTTCTTATAATTAAACTTGTTAGAGCTTGTCACACCATAGAGTCAATTTGAGCTGGTTTTTTTTCAGTTAATTTGGGCCTTAATGGTCTAGCTTGTTTTTAGACTCGTGTTAATTTAGCTTTACTAGTCTTACTTATTTTTGAGTTTGTGTTAGTATGAAAAAAAGGGGGAAAAAAGTCTTTTTTTTTTTTTTTACTCTTTCAAATTTCTTATAAGGAAGAGTGTGAAGTAAATACTTGCTCAATTAGATTTAAAATTTCAGAATTATTAATTGAATATATATATATATATATATATATATAGAAGGATTTTTTTACATTGGTAAGTTTAAAAATTCTTATATCAAATCTAAACCTTTCATTTAACTTATATCACGATCAGTGAAATAATAAATTATAATCTGTTAGATGTAAGTCAAATAAAAAGTTTAGATTTAATGTAAGAAATTTTAGACTTATACCAGAAGATCTTGTTCATATATATATTTTTCTACGATACTGTAATATTCTCTTCATTTAGCATAATTAGTTAAAAATAACAGTGATGTATTTTATACATTAAATCAAATTAGATAGGCTGAATTGACAACTGATCTCGTGAAATGCATGCTTAATCATATGTGCTTATAAGGTTACAATATAGTCATCCAAGGTACGTTACCATTTTAGAAATATGTTTACCTGTCTTGTCCGGGTAAAGCCATGCTGACAAATAAAAACACATACATTGAGACAAGAATAAAACAGAAAATCGAACATCATCAAATACGACCATACATATGACTTTGTAGTTTGTCCGTGCAAGCTGATTTAAACAGGGACTCCATACAAGGTATTTCAAAGCAGACACAAATTACACAATAGTATAATTGGCGTACCCAAGATAATTATAGCTAGAGAATAATAATGTGGCTATAGCACTTGACAGAAGATGCATATAAGGAAAGAGAAGTGAAGTAAAAGAGTGGTACATGAGTGTATAGCAATAATGATAAGAAGCCAAAGTAAGTAGAAATTAATTGGATGAGTTGGAAGAGCATTGCCACTCAATGAAGCTTTGGAGTGTAGCAACATCAGCCCTATAGTGCTTCTGAGTGAATTCAAACAAATTGGACCACGTGAAATCAGGGTACTTTCTTGGCTCATTTCTGCATAACAAATTCTCTGGGGGCCTCACTATCTTGTCTTCTCTTGGACACACAAAGAAAACCAGTGACCTTCTCTCCTTCTTTCTGTTCACCAATGCCCTATGTAGACAACTTTTGTATCTCCCATTTGACAACGCCTATCACATTAATAAGGCCCATTTATTCTATTTCTCTTTCTACCCCAATTTTCAGACATAAAAAGTTGACGAATATTTTTTATTTAATACATATATACACACATAATATTATACATAATAAAAAGTTATATATAATATTTTTATTACATTGATATTATTAAATACTATATATTTTTTTTAATAAAAGTGCGAGTTTAATTATTTCATATATTAGTCTATGATGGATACATGCTCTGCCACAGACATTCCACTTACATGCATAAGCATCACATCAAACTTTTCTTTCCTTATTTTTCTTTTGCCCATGACCACAATATTGGACATGGATTCTTGGTTGTACCTAAAACAAGCCCACGTATTTCATAAAGCTAAGAGCCGCAAGTTAACTTCAGCTATCTTATGAAAAAAGTTGAAGTTATTTTTGTAATTCTAGAAGTTTTCAAATAAATTATTTTATTATCTTAAAATTTATTATACATATATTTTATAAAAAAAATCTTTAAAAATATAATTAAACTAACCTTAAAAGCAAAATTTCCTCCCAAAATGCTGATAATTATAGTTAATATACACTGCATAATGGCAAGTGCACATACGAATTAATTGAAATTAAGGAGTTTAAATAAAATTATTTTGTTTATTTATTTGCACAAGTCATTATTAGTAAAAGTTAACGTTATTTGAGTCAGAAGTAGCGATAACATGCACATATTAGAGAAGTTGATTTTATTAATTTTGTAATTCTTATAATATTATGAGTACAAGTAGATTTACTCCCAAAACTTGGTAAAATTTAAGTAGATTTAATTTAATATCATTTAGATTTATATTTTACTTAATAATTCAAGTCATTTTATGTATCTTATTTATTGATTGTAAAGAGAGAAATCATATTATTTCAAATGAATTTAATAATACACAGTTGATTTATATAGAATATATACGTTCAAAAGGTTAAATTTTGTAAATTCATTTTAAATTATGATTTATAATAAATTTCATATGACAATTAGTTTTTAACTCAAATCAATTTTTTAAGCACTGCCAAACTCCAAACAGTGTTATGCTTAATTACAAAAAACAAAACCATCTATCTTTTATTGCATACTATACGTATACAATTTTATGAAAACTTGTAATTTTCATGCGCCAATATAATGTATAACCTTTGGTTAAAATTGACCTTATATTAATGAACAAAAGATCAAAGTACTTAGATAAAATTTGGCTGATATCAAGAAACAGTATGCACGAAGATGATATGATAATAACGAGGGGAATAAAAGGAAAAGAAAAGAAAAGAGTAGTTTGCATACCATGAAAGTGTCACCTATATTTATGACTAAAGCTTCAGATCGAGGGCGAACAGCTAGCCATTTGTTATCTGTAAAAACTTCTAGACCTCCAACTTGGTCTTGATGAAGAATAGTTAACGAGGTTGGATCAGTGTGAGGGCCAGTTCCTAAGGTGAGATTGGAACTATTGCATGGTGGATAATAGTTGCATCTCATTATTGAATCACCGTCTTGAAAAAATCTTCGATAATGTAAACGATCCACACCCAAACTAATGCCCAATAGCTCCATAATTACTAAAGATAACCCCTTCATTGCTTCACAGTACTTTTGATACACCCACCTATTCCGATTAAAGAAAAAAAAAACACTGAAGGATCTGTTTAATAAAATTATTTAAAATATTATAATTCATAATTTAATTGAAAGCTCAGTTTATAAATAATAATTTACTGAACCGGTGCTATTTAACAAAACTAGCCATTCCATTAACTGAAATATATTAAATAATTAAATAGATCTATAATATTATATTATATATTCTTAAAAGTAAACATGATTTCTATTTTATTTATTTAATTAAATAATCATATTATTTATTTTTAATTAATTAATTTTTTATTTTTATTTAATATCAGTTATTAATTTAAATTATTAAATATGTATGCATTTATTATTATATAATTAATTAAATAGAAAAACTAGTTAGATATAACAAATCAAGTCTTTCATTTATGTGTGTGTTGATTTTTTCTTGTAAATCCAAATAAGTTTTTTAATTAAATAATTAAAAGAGGAAATGAGTGAGAGCGTGGGAAGGTGCTAGGAATGCGTAAGTAAAGAGTAATTTAGGATTTGCGTTTAAGTATAATTTGTTTAAAAGTATAAGAGTAAAAAAATGATCATCAAATTATTGATAATTATAAGTTAAATGTTATTTTTTTATTTTTTATTTGTAACAATTAGTATACATGATATTTTTAGTATAGAAAGTTTTATATTATTGGTGCAGGAAAATTAAAATTAAAAATAAATTATAAATTCATGTTAATAAACACACCCTGAAAAGTCATGTCTAAAGAAAGAGTTGATTATTGCACCTATTGGCTAATTAAGTTAATAGTACTACATTTACTTAGCAATTATTGTGGTGCATGAACCAACTGGTTGTCCCTAGGTCACGACCAGGGTGCAGTGGGTCCTAATAAACCCCATTTTTCACTGCAAATCGAAACAGTGTGCAGCCTTGGTTATACGGATATTAAATATAATTTAACATATAAATACGATAATTTTTTAAAAAATATGAATATTATAATAAATATTAAGTAAAATTTAATTATATTTATAGATGATATTTAATATTTTATTATAATATTAATTAAATTTAATTAAATATAAATTTATTAACAATAATAAATTCTTTAAATATTTTTTCATAAAATCTTAGTATAAAAATATTATGATAACTAAATAGCTTAACTATGTATTCTGATAGCTAAATAGCTTAACTATCTTAAATAACTATTCTTAAATAAGAAGGCATTAATGCTATCAATTTATTTTTCTTCATCACATATGTATTTACATACATAAATATAAATATAAATTATATGAATAGTAAAAATAATTTTTATTTTAAATATATAAGAATTGTTAAATCTAGAATATATTATTATATGAATAAATATAAAAATTAAAAGTTAATTAGTAATCGTATGATTACTTAAAAATATAATATGTTCTTTTCTTTTAGCCATTTAAATAAGATCAAATTATTTATATTCATTGTTTTTATATAAGAGTGAAAATAATAAATTTGAACAGTACTAAATTAATTGTTAAAGTTAAAATATTTGAAAAAGTTACACAATTCCTTAAAATATCATGTAATTTAAAAAAAATCGTTTTATCTATATGTTTTAATCTTGATTATTAATTCATAGCAAGATTTATTGATGAAGGTTTTTTTATTTTTTTGTCACATAAAAATATAATTTTAATAGGTATGTCACTTATATAAATCTGAACCATAAAAGTATATATAAAATTATTAATTTAATTTTTTTTTAGTATTTTGTAGGACTTATCCTTTATTAAATAAAAGGCCATTTAAAATAAGTGAAAATAAAATACAGGTTTTGATAGTATTGATATATGCTATGGGTACAATAAGCATTCATTGCTAAAATTACAAAAATATATATGTCATATATTAAAAAATATTTTTTAAATTAATTTATTAATATATACATAACAAGTTTATGTTTACAACATATTATATGAAATCTATTTATAAATCATTACTATTATTTCACTATTTATTATGAACTTTCATCTTATAAGACATATAATATGATCTTTTACATTAAATTAAAATTTTACTGAATTATTATTAAATATATTATATAATACTAACAATAAATATTAAATTATTACTAATTTAATTATAATTAAATCAATAGACCATAAATCAGTATTTTTGTTAGTTCAATTATTGATTCAAATGTAAAAGCATTATTAAGGACAATTAATCTCAATTGAGCAATCATAACAGTATTTTTTTTTTTTCATAAAGAAGTTCTGTAAAGGACATGGAGGGTCGAGTAACAATTAGTAATGTGACAAAAAGAGAGGTTACCATATAATGATGAAATCAATTCAACTGAACACTGTGGACCTTACCCAGTGTGTTGAAGGTCTTCTCCTAAGACAAACTTGAAGTAGTCAACAATCTGGGAATTGCAGATGCTTTGGTGGCTGTAGTGGAAAGAGAATGTCTCTTTCCATGGCAACTTGGAGGAATAACGATCTGCATGAGCACCAGAATAGCCTGAGACCCCACCAGGTTTTCTCTTTGCACCAAGCTTCTTGCTCATAGGGAGCTTGAAAATGGAATCAATTTCATGATAAGCAGCACTTATGAGATCTGGATCCACACCATGGTTGATCACTTGAAAGAAGCCATGTTTCAAGCATGCTTTTCTCACAAACTTAGCAGCATTAGCAATAGCTTTTTCATCACCATTCTTCATGATTGCTAAGTCCACAAGGGGTTCTTTCAGCTCCTCTTGGGTGGTGTTAACTAAGTCCACAGATGGCCAAATGAACTCTCTGGGCATGTCCCCTTCTTTTTGCAGCAAATTTGAGTCAAAAGCTAACTCACCATTCTCTTCTTTGGCCTCTTCTGGCTGTGATGCAGAGGACAGTACAAGACTGGAAGCACTTATTTCCATTAGGGGAGACATATTCATTTGCATACCGCATAAGGAGGCTTCTATATATATATATATATATATAGAGAGAGAGAGAGAGAGCTGCTAGGGAAGGATACGTTTTCCTGTGTTGAGATGTGATGAAGTCAATAAAGACAGAAATAATTAAAATTTTGGTTTCAAAATTTTATTTAAAAATATTTAGTATACTTTTATATCTTTAATATAATCTATATTTTCTTTTAATAAAAATTATTATTTTTAAATGTTTAAACAAAGATTTAAAGATTGAAATTAATAAAATCAATTAATTTTTTTAAAAATACTAATAACTTTATATTCAAGAATAGTAATAACATTCTTGTTTTCGTTATTTAAATTATTACAGTCTTAAAGAAGTGAAATTAATAAAAAATAAAAATTGAAGTAAAAGAAATTAAAAACTTTACACATAAGAATGCTAATAACATTTTAAAATTCTTATTTAAATTACGAAAAATTGATATTGTATGAGATACCGTGTGTGTGTCTATATATATATATATATATACATATATAATTTTATTTTATTTTCCTTCGTACACATATCTTAAAAATGTACTCTGAATATTAAAAGGACACCCAAAAGTATTCTAGATTAGTGCTACAAAAAGTATTTTCTTTGTCAAATAATTGCCCCTTTTCGTGCCCAAATTAAGAGCAACATAAAAGATTTTTATAATAAATAAATAGTTATTAATTATTATATTTTTGTAATAAATATTTAAAAATTTATTAAACTTAATCAACAGTTAGTAAATGAATGAGAATTTACTCTGACTATTCATACTCGACCAAAAATGTGATCTAATAGTTTTATCGCATACAAGGTTGAGTAAAGGTGGAGGAAACACCTGTTTTGATATTTTAACTCTTAACTCAATCCCCAGTTATTCCCTCCCCTAATGGAAAGAAAAAAAAAACCTTTAGTGCTGGAAAGAGTATTTTATAAAACTTTAAAACTAGTAATAAGGACCATTTAATTGAGGGTGCGGTTCATTTTGAACTGCGGGGCTTTTTTTCCCCTACTTTTTTTTAAACTATCTTTTTCCTAGTTAACGTACGTTTAAAAATATATGTTTATTTATAATAAAATCAATATTTAAAAAAACAATTTGTTATAATCCCACCAAATTAACATTTTTTTTAAAACAATAAAATGACAAAATTATTAAAAATATGACCATTCTTTTAATAAAACAAAGTATGGGTTACATAAAATTTGTCATATAATAAATGATTCAGAGCTTGTTGCATGCGTTGTGGGACTAAATAATTACTTGTAGGAGTTAAGCTCCATAAAAAATTTATTTTTATCATAATAAACATATTTTTACCTCCAATAGAATTGACCTATCTAGAAGATACTCATGATTTGAATGTTAAAGATATGAGCCAATAACTGAGACGAGTTCTTACTGAAGAAAATTTTCAAGACAGAGATCGGATCACAATGAAACAAAGTTTCTCCTCTCTTTTCCTCCCATTTTGATCTCTTTTTATATTACTGATTGAAGTTAAAGTAATGCGTAAGGATTGAACTTCTAACTACTTTGATTGAAGAGACTTTCGTGTCACATGCAATGACCAGCTCTTTTTAAAAATTAAATAATTAAATGAAGACTCCTAAATGTTTGTTATTTTGAACATTACTAATAAAAATCCAAATAAATAAGGATATTTTTTTACTTTTCCCTCTTTATTTGATAATTTATACGAAAACCACAATTTAAACGATGTAATATTTGTTGGGACGGGTTACAGGTTAGTATTTAATTAGATTGACTTTTCCTCACCAATCTTTGCAATATTAAAACATTTACGGATGTCACCACTTATTCTTGTTTTAGACTATTTATGATATACATCCATTTTTGTATTATATCCTAGAATAAATGTAACTGGTGAATCATGGACAAGTTTTGTACTTTTCCATTTTTAGGGGTTGTTTGAAAAAGGGGTTTTAGAGGGAAGGGAAGAGAAGAGCATAATTTATATTTTAAATAAATATATTTAAAATTAATAATTTTTTAAAATATATATATAAATTAATATATTAACAAAAATTTAATATATTAATGATACATTTTTTTATCACAAATAATATATAATTTTTTAATATAAAATTAAAAAATAAGTCCTTTCTTTTCTTTCCCTTCAAATATTTCTTCTCAAACATACCCTTAGAAAACTAAGTCTTAATTGGATTTTAAAATAGATAACCCATTAGAAAAGCAAAACATTAAATAATTAAAAATAAATAATATTTTTCAACTATCCATGCATAAATCATAAAACTGGTCGGAGGGAAGTAACGAGACACGACTTTTTACACTAGATAACCAGTCCTCAAGTGTAATACAATCTCTATTGCTTATAAATGCTTTGAACTTTCACTTTCGTAGTACTAACAATGGCAAGGAGATGATTTTTATTTCATTAACCTTTAAGGGTTCAGGAGTTTTGATGTAACAACACTTGTCTTTCTATTTTCACTTTCGGCATTTAGCATATTATAGCCAAACCACACAATCACACTCATAGACAACAAAATCCTATAAAGTGAGTGACAAGAATTTTAATAATTTTACTGCACTGATTGAGTCAAGTGGTCAACAGGTTTAAATTTGAGTTTTAGATAATCTAATCTTACTAAATTTCTTTTATATTACTTCAGTATTTAATTAATCTAAAATTAAATTATAATATAAGTGGCTAGGTTAATTTATTTTTTGTGTGAGATTTTATAACTTCTTACATCGATTGCAATTTTAAAATCATACTATCTCTTATCTTAAATAGAAAACTCTCATCTATTTTATAAGAATTAGGAAATATAACTAACTTCATTAAATATAATAAATTTATTAATAATTTAAATTTTTTTTAAATGTCTTTTAAGATTGTTAGAACCTATTTCTTACTTTTTTTTATTTAATTAATTACTTTTTTTTTCACGAGTATTTTTGTAAGAAAACAATTATGAATGAACGTAGTATTTTAATATGGAAACGAAATCTAACACCCCATTCCTAGATAATAAGCATGTCGATATAATTTGACAAAGAACATGTATGTGACTAATGTTATCATGTAGTCTCATTTTTTTTCAATATTTCCAGATTAAACTCTAAATATGGAATGTATCATCCTTCTATACTTTAATATTGATTTCTCTATTTTTAATTAGACTTACTTTCATGAAATAATATATATCTCATTATCTCATATTAATATGATATAAGTATATACACTTAATAAATACTCTCATTCCATTGAGGGAATTGAGAGATCAGTACTCCAATTGAAAAGGACAAATTTAATATAACCACTCACATTGGTTTATATGATTTGCAAAGAATAGTCACTTTTATAGTTATTGAGTTAAGTGTGATGTTTGATAGCATAAAAACATACAAGTCTCTATGTTGAGAACACTTGTAAGATCAAATCAAAAGATGACTATCATTTTCATTTTAAGAATAATTCGTAACAATTTATGTAACTTTTTTTAATTATAAGTTAATGTAGATCATTGTGACATTTAATGTGTGCTTACGTGATAAACTTAATATTCATTTCTTCTATGATATGTGAACCGTAATTATTAATCTATTTATATACTAACTTTTACACATTACAATTTTTAAAAAATATTAACATTAACTCCTATGAATGATTAGAAGAAATTAAAAGTAATAAAAAATTATTGAAAAAATTATTTAATATTGTTAAAATATAAAGTATAATAAATGCTATATTTGTACTAAAAAATTTATTAAAATTATTAAAAAATTAATTTAATTAGAAAGAATTTAAGCACATATTTCATGTCATCCAATAAAATTTCACAATCAAGTTATGTTCTATGACATCAAATACAAGATTCTAAATTATCCATTGTGTTAATTAAATAATTATATGAAGAATAACATAATACACCAAATGATTAAAAATAATACATAATTGACCTCTATACTATATAACAAATATCAAGCAAGTACATGAAACATTCCGGGTCCATCATCCGACCATTAATTATCACAGCCTGCCATTGTTATAATAATAGTGTCAATAATTTTTTTTTCGTTTTATTCACTTAATTCCAATTTTTTTAAAAATTTGGCGTACGATTTAATAGCATGTCAATTATTAGTCATAGAACATATATATATATATATATATGAATTTTGTTAATATTTTTTATTTTTTTATTATGTGTATATTGTTTATTGTGTTTTTTAAAATCTTTGATTTTAACTTTCTTTTCTATTTGTTCTTTTTTAATCTCTATTATTTTTTCTCCTCTTCAAAATCTGAATGTGATGGTGGAAATAATAACAACCGCCTTAAAGCAGCATTGCAATTAGAGTAATAGAGAGAATATCATAATCCTAATAGCGTAAAAGAACTACTTGCTATTCTGAAGGGTAATGCAATGAATAAATAATATACATGACAAAAAATGATAAACTGTGAATGAACAATATATGAATAATACACAGAACAAATAAAAGATTAAAAATTATTAACAAAGTTAACTTTTTTAACAGAAAAAGATATATTTAAAATACTTTTAGAAGTTAGATGACTAAAATAAATTAAAATAAAGTTAAAAATAAGATCAAAATTAACATTTAATTTAGAAAAAAAATAATTTTGCTAAAAGAAACTTAAACTTAAGTATAATAAAATATACACGTGCGCTTGTTTGAGAAAAGATAATGAAAGAAAGTATGTTAAAGTAATGCAGATTTTGAAAAAAAAAATTGAATGAAAGTAATAAACTCTATAATTTCTAACAAGAAAAAAAATGTTTTCTATCAAAAATTTAAGTATGAGTAATTGTTAAGATTTTGACTAATAGTTATATAAATAATAGATTAAATATTATGAATTTTATAAATATAATTATTTCTGAAATTTTAAAAATTTATATAAGATAATAAGAGAAAGTTAAATAGTAATTTTTATCTTCAAAATTTAGAATGTGT